TTCAGTCTATGAGTCACTGGGATTTTAGGTATGCACCACTGAGCCTGGCTTCAAATTATATTTTTTTTACTTGGAGTAATATGAGGCCTTTAATATTATGTCACATATTCCTATATTATTTATACTGATGTTCCTTCAGTATAAATCATCTACTTAGATTTTAATATTTGCATTTTAAAAATCTGAGACAATAACTGATATCAAATGATTGGCTATTATTTCTATCTACTAGACCTACTTGGGGCAACAGTATGTGTGAGACTTTGTATTTTGGAACTAGAGAGGTTTAGCTAAAAAGAAGTGTGACTTTGGGCAAATCAACTTTTCTGAACCTGTTTCATAAAGATTACATATGATAAAGTGCTCTGCCCACCATCAAAACCCTCAATATATGTAAGCTATTATTGCTATGATAGGAAATGTTTTCAAATATCTCTTTTCTTTGGTGTTGCCTATCTTGGTGAAGTTGAAGGCTGCCTATGTACATGAATTAGCAATATATTAATTGAATTAAGCCCTATCTTCCTTCCCATATGCTACATTCAATATTTATTGAACAAAGATGTGGCATGTGCCAGGCCCTGTTCCAGACACCTAAGATACTTTAGTTAACAAAATAGGGTCATCTGGCTTGTGCCAGTAATCCCAGCAACTCTGGACAATGAGGCAGGAGGATTGCAAATTCCAAGTTAGCCTCTGCTATTTAGCAGAATCCTTAGCAATTTAGTGAAAACTTGTCTCAAAAAACAATAATAATAATAAAGGACTGGGGATATAGCTCAGTGGTAAAGTGCCCCTGGATTCTATCCCCAGACTCTAAAACAATAATAAGCTAATTAATTTAATTACTTAAATAAAAAAGATGAACCAAGCATGGTGGCATAACCCTATAATCCTAGCTACTCAGGAGATTGAAGCAGGAATTTAAGACCAGTTTGAGCAACTTAGTGAGATCAGCTCAAAATAAAAAATAAAAAGGATGCAGCCCGGTGGTAGAGGGCCCCTGGGTTCTATTCCCAGTACTGCAAAACAACAACAGAACAAAACAAAAAAAATATAACTTTGCCCTTATGTAACCCAACAGTATAACTTAGGGAGTTTGTGGAATTCTTTCTCTACATTACTTATTCTCAAGTCTTGCAATTCCTAATGTACACATTACTCAGTTCTTCAAATATGCTATCCCATACTACAGACCCAGTCCTTTCCTCTTTATCCTTGATGAAAGACATGTCTTTCTTGGTCTTCTGCTACAGCCTCCAATTAGGGGCAGGGACTTACTGTGATAACACATTGTAAACCTTTATTAAGTTTTATAAGAATGGTAATTTGCAGTTTAACTTCTCTCTAAGGTAAAAGGAAAAACAAACATTAGTGCCACCACTTTTATTTAATTGCTGATAATTATAATCAATTTTTTTTTTTACATCGCCTATTCCCAACAAAGTGGCCAGAGGAAGGATTCGCTTTTAAAGAAGTTCAGCTGCTTTTCTTAAAGAGATGGCCCATTTCATTAATTTTTGAGCAAACAGCTAATACCCAAGTGCAAATAACTATAGTTTAATCTACGATAAATCATTCTTTTAATTTAAAAAGTGGGACAGGAATTTCAGAGAATCCATTAAGTCAAAACAATTTTCATAATACCATGATTTTATTTGCCTCTTTCACTGTTAACACTTGCACAGATGTTCCAGAAGCTAGAGTGGTAATATTACCAGCACTTAACATGAATCAAGGCGGAGGCACAAAACTGTACTTGTAATCATTGTACTGTCATGTCCTTTCAAAACAAAGTCAAAAAACAGTTTTACTTAAGAATATCTTGATGAACTAGTAACACTTACTGATTTTGTGGAATCTTGAAAACATGTGTTTGATATTTCATGTAATAAAATTAGTAGTATTCATAAAGAATTACTGTTGTGGGCTGGGGATGTAGCTCAAGTGGTAAGGCGCTTGCCTGGCATGCGCGGGGCGCTGGGTTCGATCCTCAGCACCACATAAAAATAAAAAATAAAGATGTTGTGTCCACCGAAAAAACTAAAAATTAAAAAAAAAAATTCTCTCTCGCTAGCTCTCTTTCTCTTTCTCAAAAAAAAAAAAAAAAAAAAAAAAAAAAATCTTCTTCCTTACCCCTTTTTTTTTTTCTAAAAAAAAAAAAAAAAAAAAAAAAAAATTACTGCTGCCTACAGAGAATGGTGGTTTTCTCAAGGAAAAACATTTGTGTTTATTTGAATTGTAAACTGAACTCAACTTCTGCTTTTTTAAGACTCCTTATGTTCACATTAGACAATAAACTTTAGTTTTCAGACAATAAACTATAGTTTTTGGGTAGTTGGTAGACATATTCTTGCAAAGGAAGCAAATGGGCCTGTCATTTCTAGGAGAATTATATATCTACTACCAGTAATCAGATTCAAGTTTCCAAGTAAAGTTAAACTTGCTAAAGACATACCATCAGGAATTTCCTCTTTTCCCCCCAGTTTTTTTTTTTTTTTTTCTTTTTGTCATGCTGGGAATTGAACCCATGGCCTTGTACAGGGGTGGCAAGCACTCTACCAACTGAGCTCTATCTCCAGCCCACTTATTTTTTTCAAATTGGTGTATTATAGTGATACATAACTATGGGATTTATTGTTACATATCCATACATGCACACAATGTAACAATGTAATTTGGCCAACATCACTCCCCCTCCCCCTGACTAACTCTCTCACACCCCACCTCCCAGCCCTTGGTCCCTTTCCTCTACTAATCTCCCTTTGATTTTCATGAGATCCTCACCACAGCCCTGCCACTTTTCTTTTCCTTTTTGCTCTCTAGCTTCCACATATGAGAAGAACATGAGAACTTTGACCTTCTGAGATTATTATTTTGCTTAATATAATGGTCTCTAGTTCCATTTTCCTGAAAATAATATAATTTCATTTATCTTTATGGCAAAATGAAACTCCACTGTGTATATTTACATTTTCTTTATCCATTAATCTGTTGATGGACACCTAGGCTGGTTCCATAGTTTAGCTACTGAGATTTGTGCTGCTATAAACATGGGCACAATTGTGAATTTCTGTGTCTTTTTTTCTTCTCTCTCTCTCTCTCTTTCAGGGATTGAACCCAGGGTGCTATACCACTAGGCTATATTTACAGCTCTTTTTATTTATTTTTTAAAATTTTGAGGCAGAGTTTCTATAAGTTGCCCCGGCTAGCCTCAGACTTGCATCGTTCTGTCCAAGATTATATGCACGTGTCACCACACCCAGCAGGTGAATAAATTTAATGTAACAGAATTGTAAAGTTAACTGACTTAATTTCAGATTTCCTGTTTTAATTATCTTTAAGAAACTACCACTGGATAGATTTGCTAGAATATCAATGAATAATTATATGATAAAGCTAAATATTCTTCCCATACTACTGATTTATGAGTAGTGGATTTCTCATACTTGAACCAAAAACTTTGTATCCCAATAGTATGAATGAATGAAGAATTGAATAAGAATCCAATCATCAATTAAGCCAAATACCAAAGAGCTCTCCAAAATGTTTTTAAAAAGTCATTCTTTTCAATAAATTGTTTTGCAAACTAGCTATTTTTCATAAAAATGGTTTTATTATGTAATTTTTTATTGTTACTTTAAACGATTTAGTAAATATTTTTAAAATTTCTGTTTTCTTTTTTTAATATTTTATTTTTTAGTTGTGGTTGGACACAATACCTTTTTTTATTTATATGTGGTGCTGAGGATAGAACCCAGGGCCCTGCACGTGCTAGGTGAGCACTCTATCACTGAGCCACAACCCTAGCCCAGCTAATTTCAATTGTGGTAAATATCAACAGCTATAACATCCACACAAAGACTCTTTGGGATCTCTGATCATTTTTTAAAGTGTAACAGAATCCCATGACCCAAATTTTGAGAACCAATGACTTAAAATATCAGGTGCTGGAAGTGTAACTCAGCAGTAGTGTGCTTACCTAGCATGAATGGGACCCTGGGTTTGATCCACAGCACTGCAAAATTAAATGCCATATCATGTCACTTCTCTGCTTAGAGACCCTCCAGTGCTTTTTTTCCTACCTTCTTCAGATTTTCTTGTATTGACTACATAGATCTACTCTTTTCTGCCCTCCTTTATCTGTCCCTGCATTCCATTCAGTACACTTGTCTCTTTGTAGTACCTACAATTAGTCAGACACTGTCCTGGCCTTAGTCCCATGCACCAGTAGTTCCCTCTACATGAAAGCAATTTCCCAGTTTTCTGCATGGCTATTTCTCTCAATTCCTTTAAAAAAAAATCTGGACTCAAATGACATCATCTCAATAACCAAATATGAGAATGATATATATAAATTGTGACCCTACTAACTGCTCCCACCTACCAGTATCTTCTAACATTTATGTCTACAGTTTGTTTGGCCTCCCTCTTCTCCAACTAGCATAATTTAAGCCCCAAAGTCTAAAAAAAAAGCCTGCCACTGAGAACGACAAACATCAGGTGCTGAGGCAGAAGGATCACAAGTTTCAGGCCTGCACCAGCAGGGAAACCCTGTCAAAGAATTTAAAGGGCTGGGGATGTAGCTCAGTGGTAAAGCGCCCTTGTATTTAATTTCCCCTACCTGGGGATGGACCCCCCCCACACACACACACACAATTTGTTGAATGAAAAAACATACTCGTTTACCAGCTGTCATTTCTGAAGACATGGCCACAAATTCCAAGGGAGCGGATTCAATTTACAGTCAATGAAAGTCAGTGAAAGCAAACCATTTTGAAATGAGAGAAAAAAGGTGGGATAAATCAATCATAAACCTCAATATTTGTAAGCATGAAAAAAAAAACGCTCTTGGGGATTCAGGGTGGGGAATATTACAAAGGTCTGCATAGAGAATTTAAGGGCCTGATAATGAACCAATTCCTACTCGAACTCTGAAATCCTGGTCCCCAAACCTCTCCCCGAACCCTTCCACCGGAACAAAAGGAGTCACACCAAAAGACAGGGCAATTTCTAAACTTTATGGAAAAAGCACCAATGACAGACAACTAGCCAGGTCCCGTTTCACTCCAGGGTCGTCCTCCCTAATGCTCGTCGGCTCTAGGACCTCTCCACTCGCACAGTTCTCAGGGTCCCGACGGTGTCTCAATGCCATGTTCCGAAGGGTCCACGTTTAGGCGGGTCAGGAGGGCCACTCCGGGACAAACCCCTCTGGACACCGAAAGCACGAGCCGGGAAGAATCTGTCCACTGGAGGCGGGAAAACGCAGGAAACCACAGCAAACTGGAGAAGGCAGGGAGCGGTGCGGCCGCGAAGGTCCCCGCGCGGGGCTCAGTTCTCCTCGGGCTTGTCGGCCGGCGGCCCGCAAGGCTGCAGCATCTTCTCCATCAGGTTGAAGCGGACTCGCGCTTTGCTCTCATTCTCGGCAATGGCGAAGTAGTTGAGAAGGTCGAAGTGGCCCATGTAGGAGCAGTACGAGTCGCGGTGCTGGTTCACCAGCCACTCCCACTTGGTGGTGTCGGCGTGGCCCGTGCCGATGTACTTGGACTGGAGGTGCTCCAGCTGGCTGTGGATGGTGTAGCGGTCGGTCATCTCGCCACTTTTCCCTCGGCGCTCAGATCAGAGGACGAAAGCCAGAGACAGCCGCTCTCGGGTTTCCCGCCGGAGAGGACACCACCACACGGAAGCTCCGCACTCACGCAGTCGCAGCAGAATGGCGTCACGGCGGCGACGCTGCGTGAACGCTCATCCGTCGGGCACGGAGGCGGAAGCGGAAGTGCATTCTGTTACGGAATGGCAGTTGCCTAGGCGACAGCAGCAACTGTGCCGCCCCAGCACCTAGCGGCCCCTTCTTGAAAGCGTTGCCTGACGGTTCGCTTATTGGCCACTGGGTGGCGCTTTTCTAACCTGAACCAGGTTTACTGGGACCTGTGATCGCGGGAGTTCGCGTGCACACGCTCCTGGGACTCCCTCGCGTTTTAAGAGTCTCGGCGGCCCAGCTGGGGGCTGTGCGGGAGGCGGGGAGCATCCTTGGGCGGTTGGGAGCTGAGGAATGGCCACCATAGGCCAGGGCTCCCGACCACCGGGAGAATGAACTCTTGGTGTATCCTGGCGGCACGGTGGTCTTTTCCAACTAGGGATGGATCACCTTAAAGTCAGCCTATGTGCCTTCTGGTCCCGGCTCGGTCTCTTAGAGGTAGTAGAGGGTGGGAAAGCTGGTTGTGGTGCCGCACGCCTGCAATCCCATCTATTCCGGGGCTGAGCCGGAGGGCCGCAAGTTCGAGGCCAGCCTGAGCAACATAGCGAGACCCTTGTTTATAAGTAAAAACTGGAGCAGGGCCATCGTTTCCTGCTTGCAAGCAAAGCACAGCAGCGGTGCCTGCCTGTTCTGGCTTCCATCTCCGGCTCCTTCACCCGCTTTGCTGTGCGCCCCCGGGCTCCTCACCCACCTCTGCAGCTCCAGCCTGCAGCGAGTGCTGCGCGCCCCCACTTCCTCCTACGAGCTGACCCCCTGTATTGTACTTGGAAAGCTTTTGTTCCCCTGGCACACACGACTCCCTTTAAGGCTATTCACAAGCTTTTCCTTGAAGTCGGCAGTGACTACTGCAGACAGATGTAAAGCTTTCTTCCTCTTTTCATGTCTTGCGTCTCTTCCTTATTATTGCTTTATGGCCTACTTTTGGGGGGGAGTTAAGCACTTCTTCCGGCACGTAGAAACTACTTGAAAGGCGGAAAAAATCCTATGCTGCTTTTGTGATATCCTTTAATGATATCCGTATAACCTGGTGGAGATTGTAGTCCCAAAAACTGTTGGATGGAAGGTAAAGAGCAATTACAGCCAAAGAGAAGAGACTCTAGGAGAGAGACAACTTCCAAATACAGTAGTTCTATTCTTCTGTTTAAACTGTGTTACAATAAACATTTCGTTCTGGAAATGTAGAGAATATTATGTCATACTGGGAGTTCACTATCTAGGTATACCACCCCTTGCCCTTCTGCCAATGTGATTGTTTTGCTCTTTTAAAAAAAAAGAAAGAAAGAAATGATATTATACAAATAAGATTGAAGTCTTATTCCCCATGCCCCTAATCATGCCCCCTCAGAAGACTATCCTGAATTTGGAGGCTGTTTTTTTTTTTTTTTTAATTAAAAGTTTGTGTATCTATAAGTAGAAGTTGTTATGCATGTGTGAATGCTTTATAAAAATAATACTATGTTGTTACAAAAGTTGTTTTTCCTTTAGACAACGTCCTTGTTGACACGTTAATTCAGTTCATTTTTATCACTGAATTAATATACTATAACTGATCTGCTCTTAATAATAGATTTCCCACCATATTTTTTTTTATTGGAAACAATGCTGGGAAGAGGGGGAGGACGCAAAAAGGGTGGTTGGGTTTGGTCAGTGCACACTGTATTCAGATATGGAAATACCACACTGAACCCCATTCTTATGTACAGTAAACACATATTAATAAAAAGAGTGCTGCAACAAATATTCTTCTAGATATATTTTTATACAAGTGAAAGTTTCTCAGACCATATACACAGGAATAAAGTTGCTGAGAGCTAGGGATATATTCAAGCTTTGCCAGCCATTGCCAAATTGCTCCTAACAGTGGTGGTCCCAACCGGGGCTCCCACCAACAGAATGAGGATTTTGTTTATTCCACATACTCCTCAATATTTGATGTCATCAGATATTTAAAATTTTTCAAATCTCATGGATGGAATGAAATTTCATTGTTAATTTTTATTTGCATATCCCTGATTACTAGGAAGGTTGGCATCTTTGTGTTTATGGGCCTATTATATTTCTGTTGTGAATTGCTTATTCCTATCCTTTGCTCATTTCCTATTGGATATTTGTCTTTTTCTTACTAATGCTTAGGAGCTCTTTAGATATTTAGAATATTAGGCTTGCCAGTTATATGCAATAGGGTATCTTTATCCAGTCTGGCCTTTTTTTTTTTTTTTTAACATCATTTATGATATCGTTTGTTGTACAGGCGTTTAATGTATCAAATTTACCAGTCTTCCTTTATGGTCTGTGCATTTTGCATTTGGTTTAAAAAACTGAAATCAAACAAAATCCTTTCCTACTATGGGACCATAACAAGAATTTCTTATTTTTTTCTAAAAGTTTTAGAATTTTGTTTTTGCAGATGGTAAAAGGATTTTCAATATGTGTGAGTGTTGGTACAATGTTTCCCACTAGGTGTCGCCAAAACAACATGTAAAGCCAACAAACAGGTCAGTGGTTCAACACATTTTTATAATTAGGCATTCTTGAGTTTCTTTCTCAATCAGAAAGGTGCCTGTGACTGAGATGCATAAGATAAGACCTTGCCTTGATGAGTTTTTTGGTTTTCAGGCTTTTAAAAATTATTTTTGGCATTGGGGTTTGAATCCAAGAGTGCTTTATTACTGAGTTTTATCCCCAGTTCTTTTTATTATTATTTTAATTTTTGAGACAAGGTCTTGCTAATTAGCTGAGTGTTTCGATAAATTGCTGATGCTGGCTTGGAAGCTGTGATCCTCCTGTCTCAGCCTCCCGAGTCACTGGGATTATAGGAGTGCACCACTGAGACCAACTGGTTTGCTGGGTTTTTAAAGGCAGCTAAGACAGATGATTCAGAAGAAAAGCGAACTACAATTTCCTTGTCATCATACAAATTTTACTATTTAGAGTAAGTTGTGATGTGGAATTTGATGTAGAGAATTTTAAAAAGACTTGTTTGCTAGCTATGATTTTATTTTTCTATGGTTACAATATCTTGAGCTTATGCTTTTCCCAGTTATGATGGATTTCATGTACCCAAGCAGATCTAAAACTCTCAATTGAGGGAGGTTTTTGCCCCTAAATGAGTTTATACTATACAGATTAAATTGCATAGACCACTTTTATCACCTCTCTTGTGGAGATTTGAGACATCTATTCCCTAACTCATTTGAGGTTTAATAGATGGGCCTCTCTCATTCTTTAGTAACAATGTTAAATCACAAGGTGGTACCATTTTTGAGTAATTTCTTATGGGATAAATTTTAGAGGTATTTTGAAACATTTTTCAGATGTCCTATTTGTTGCAATCACATAAAATTACTTTTATGGTAGGATTTTTATTGGAACAACAGTGTCTTAGTTAGCTCAGGCTGCTATAATGAAATACTAGAGACTGGTAGCTTCATAACCACAGCAATTTATTTCTCACAATTCTGGAGGGTGAGATAAAGGTGCTGGCAATTTGATGTCTGTTGAGGACCTGCTTTCTGGTTCAGAGAGAGCTGTGGAAGGGGCAGGGGTCTCTGTTGTGCCTGTTGTCTAAGGGCACTCATACCACTGGTGAAGGCTCTGTCTCATGACCTAATGACCTGCCTAAGGCTCCACTTCCTAATGCCATCACTCTGGGGTTAGGATTTCAACATGTGAATGGAGGGAGGGCCACAAATATTTTCACCATAGCAAATGGTTGTGCCACAATTTGTCATTTTCAGTTTTTCCTAGGAGAGATCTTCATTAAATGGACAGTAAGAAGTTTCAGGTGCAAGTCAGGCATGGTGGTGCAGGCCTATAATCCCAGCACCTGGGGAGGCTGAGGCCAGAGGATTGCCATTTAGCAAGGCCATAAACAACTCAGTGAGACCTTGTGTCTAAATAAAATACAAAAAGGGCCGGGAATGTGGCTCAGTGGTTAAGTACCCTGGGGTTCAATCCTTGGTACCAAAAGAAAAAAAAAAAGAAGAAGAAGAAGGAGAAGGAGAAGAAGTTGTTGTTTCAGGTACAGAAAAGGGAATTTGACCATTTGACCATTTGCAACTTCAGTGAAGGGAATTAACAGGATGCTATGATAGAGGGGAAGGGGGTTGGGAGGCTTCAAGGGGAGGGCAACATCACTCTAGAAGGTGACATTTACATGTGTCCTGTGGGTGAGAGCAAGCCAGATATGCCAAGAACTCTGGAAGAGCATTCCAGGCATAGAACAACGGCCCTGGGTGGGGAGAAGCTTGAAGTGTTCTGGGAGCTACGTGGTAACTGGAGCACAGTGACAGAGAAACAGAGTGCCACTGGATGGGGGTGGAGATGAGAGCAGGGGCCACTAATGCAGAGTCATGTTTGAATTTACACCCTGGAGGAAGCAAAGGTAGAATATGAAGCCAGAGGAGCACTGTGAGGCCTGATATGCAGAGATGGAGTTCTTGGGGGTGAAGAAGAGACTACCTACATCATAGTTTGTGTAAAGACGCATGTACTAGTATGTTCTATGATTGACCAACCCTTGTTCCAGACACACTGGGCAGCCATGTCTCTACCACAGGTTGTTCCTCATTTCTCCTGTCTGCAATGCTCTTTCATAAACAAATATAAAAGCTATTTACTTTATATTAAGCAATGAAAGGAAGTTAAAGAAAATTATATAATCCCACTTTTTAGACATACATACTCACCCACCCAGCCACCCTATCCCCTCCCAGACTCTCAGATCTGCAGAGGAAAATTGGAGGAATTAACATATTCCCTCTAGGAATGATGGGGATTGAGGGTATGAGTGTGTGTGTGTGTGAGTGTGTGTGTGTGTGTGTTTAATCTTTTTCAATCAGCTTGCCCTACCTTTGAAACAAAGAAAAATAAATCAAATGGAAATGTTATATAAAACCCAAAAGTAATTTCACTCCACACCATCCAAAACATATTAAAATTTAAAAGATGGGTGATACTA